ACACACACACACACACACATACATACATACATACACATATACACACACACACGCGTTCGCGCGCGCACACACACACACACATACACACACACACACACACACACACACACACACAACTTCCTCTCTTTGTCTTTATTCCCTGTAGGCACAACTAGACACATAGACACTCATGACAAGGCGTCTGTGGTGAAGCGGTTAGGCGCTTGGCTGTCGCACTCAGAAGTCCCGAGTTCAATTCCCGAGTTGGGAGAACATTTTAAATCGAGTATGTTGTAGGCCTATTATACCTCTCAACCCGAATTGGCCCTAGCAGGTAGGGTCGGAAGCCTGCTTCCTAAATGATCGATATTGGTTCGATAGGGGCGTAAAACACCTATCTTAATATGAAAACAAAACAAAGTAAAACAAAAAGTAACCCTCCCCCTAAAGACCCCACCTTAAAAAACAACAAAACAAACAAAACCAAACAAAACAAAAACAATAGCAAAAACAAAACAGCAGCCAACAAACAAACGAAAACAAACCCACAACAGGGCCCGACCCCATAAAGATTTTGTAAACATGTCAAGAAAATACATGGCGCTAGACAAAATATACCTTACATATCAACATACGAAAAATTAGACAATGGTAACCATAGATCTAGACAAAACAAAGAAACAGACAGCGAGCCAAACATAACCATAGATTTCAACAAATAAATAGCTAGACAAAATAAAACAAGACATTACGTTAGATCTTGAAAGAATTATTATAACTGTACGGGTTTTACACCCTCATTGACACACTTTAGATAGAGCAGTAACGCACAAACAGAAAGAAGAAAAAAGAAAAAAATCCCCAAGCAAAACCAAATCCAACCAAACCAAACACGAGCCCCCCCCCAAAAAAAAAATTAAAAAAAATAAATAAAAAAAATAACCCACACAAAAATGAACAAAAACAAACGCAAAACCAACCACCCACACACAAAACCAACAAAATACAAAATAAGTAAAAAAAAAAAAAGACAAAAAAAAAATAAAAAAAATAAACACCCCAAAAAACTTCCCAATTCGCGAATGGAACTCCCGTCGCCTGCATGCAACGAGGCAAATTTTAATAAACAGACAGTATACCAACCTCGTTCTCTTTGTCTTTATCCTCTTTAGGCACGTAGACGCTCATCACAGGGCCCGATTCCATGATGGTTTCGTAAAGGTCAGGGGTCAGGATGTCAGTGACGTTGATGAGTCTCTGCGTGGAGATCTCGGCCATGCCATGGTCAGAGAAGATCATAACGTTTACCTGAAAGTAGGGGT